TTTCACGGGTTAATGCACGAAACGTCAATAAATAAATAAAGTTTCGTGCATTAACCCGTGAAAAACTAGTTTTATTCACTTATATATTACATATAATTTTTGCAAAGCACACCAGCCTTCTCCGATAGCTAGCCTACCTTGGCTAGGACGCCTTGTAATATGCCAGTCTGAAACCTTTTCATTTTAAGGATGGAGTATGCATGTCTCCTTTCCGCTTCATTTTTGACGCATTCCATTAATATGTGTTGCACATCCTCCACTTTTTCACATGTTCGAGGAAACGTCTATTTACGGACAGTCCTCCGGACGGTACAGGGTTGCTGGGCCAAGCGGTTTTCTTTACAAATCAAAATACAGCACACAATATTTAAAAACCTCAGCGCATTGCGGCCGCGGTGTGATAGTCGCCTAAGACAATAGGCTAGTTGACTCATGTCCAATTGCACTATCATCATCATCATCATCAACAGCCTATCATAGTCCACTGCTGGACATAGGCCTCTCCAAATGCACGCCACTCAGATCGATCTTTGGCTACTCGCATCCAGCTCATTGCACTATACAAATGTTTATTTCTTATAATTTTTGGTATGAGGAACCTAAATACATCGATTTCACTTCATAAAATTAGAAGATGGCTGTAGTAATTTAATTTGAAAAATAGTTTTTTAGTCTATGCTTTTTAAACACTAAAAACGCTGTCCACCGTGATTGTGACATCAACAAGAAGAAAAAATATTAATTAATTTCTTAAAAACAGTGATGTTCACACACTTAATACAAGAAACAAAAATAAACTAACTTTACCTGCGACTAGGCTTTACCAAATCAATAATTCAATTTAAAGGTCTTTGTGTTCGCTTATACAATAAAGTTCCAAGCAATATCCAAGAGTTAAGCATAAATAAATTCAAAGATAGTATAAAAAAAGCACTTATTAAAAAAGCTTATTACAACAAAAACAGACAGAAATGCCTGGGTTTGAACTGTTCCAATCATTCCAACAGGTTTTCTATATTAAATAAATCATGATTGTATTGACGTTGTAACAACATAATGATTTGTAAATGTTGTTACATTATGCTTTTAATGTTGTGGAGTTTGTTTCGCTCGTTTTTCTCCGCAGCTAAAAAATATGTCCAATAACGAGTGGTAGGGAAAAAAAATGTTTGGACGATTCAAAAGTGTTGTACTATACATTCCAATTTAATAAAGATATATTGATTTCTGAACATATTAGCAAACAACTCAACGTCATTGCGTGTTACTGTGGTTTCTTTCGTCGGACTAAAATATATCTAAAAACTCTTCTATCTTGAAGAAAAGTTTCCGTTTATTGGTTTTCTTGACTAAATTAATGCTGGATCCGGATTTGTGAAAGCTGTAACTACAAAACTCTTTGACTTAGCAGGTACATTCATAACCTTAAAAATTTAAACCATAGCATTTCTGGAGTCTTTAACGATGTGTTTCTATATTCTCGTATAATACAATCATGATAATTACTATATTCATCATGAAATCTATTAGAAATCACGGTTTTGATATCTAAATTCAGATCCTACGTGCTTGCGAGTGTTTGTTTACTATTTTGTTCCCGTCATACCATAGATAATCTATAGATTAAAATTGCCGACAGCGTTTTTGTATGTCCATGAAAAATATATTTTAAAAATAAAGTTTTGTAGCTTTCTAGGTAAAAAAAATACAATTCATTTTTTTACGGTCTAATTGGACAATTATTAACAATTTAAAACATATTTCCAACAAGTGTCAACTAGCCTATTCTATCATAAACCTAATTAAGAGACCTGTGATAATGTTGTCAGAGTGTCACAACAATGGGGGGGTTTGAAAGTCAAGTTTTGTTATCAACCGACCGTTTCCCTTGTAACAAGAACACAGTAAGAAATATACTTATAGTAGTTAAGTCACTAAGCAAATCGTTGTTAATTCGTAATTGATAAAAATCCTTGGCAATGAAGCTTATCTGTGGCGGGTGTACAGGCAATGGGACGGTTAGTGCTTTTGTGTAAAACCTAGTTATTTATTACTCACTTAGGTACTCTTTACGTTTTATAGTGAGCAAAGTATTGCTACTGTTTTGTAGATGTGGGACTGTTGTCTCTCCTGACGGCCTCCCTAGGGGAGACATAAGGACTTACTTTAAATTGTATATTGAGTACTCGTCTATATATCTATATCTTTATATATCGCGTATCTCTGCCACATGTAAAATGTATGGCTATACTGGCCGCTTAAAAATGAAAAAAAATATCTATCGCTTATTTTTCTGTACCCATGGCTGTTCCCTTGAGGATACTGTGGAAAATTAAATTTTCTGAGCCCTTGGCCACAAAATCCGAACAACTATTAGATCTATTTTTATGAAAAATAAATAAAACAATTTTTTCTTTTTTATAGTTTCATTTAAAGACCCTATTGGTCATGTCATTAATATAATAAAATTATTAAATAATTAATTTTTATGGTTTTAACGTAAACTTAAAAAGGGAATATACGGGTTACTCAATATACAATTTTAAAGGTAAGTCCGATGTCTCCCCTAGGTGCGCCGTCAGGGGAGACAATAGTCCGGCATCGTATTGTAATATTGATTTGGTTGTTCTATAAAGCTTTAGTGAGTAAGTCCGTCTTCTTTGTTATTAATTCCGGGGCTTCATTATGTAACTTTGTCGTTTTCGCTATCCCTTTAATCATAATCATAGGTGCTGAAAAGATCGGGCAAGAAACTCAGTAAGGGTTGTTTTTTTCTCCCTATTTTATTATTTACAGAGTCGTCAAATTGAAAATGGCTTCAAAGATGATTCATGAAGTCACCTTTCATTATATAATGTGAAATATACATTGTTCACTTGCATTTTGATGGCTGTGTCATACAGTATAAATACAAATAGTCTTATTTATATTAAGTGTAACTAGGTAGATTCTGGCATGATTCTCTAAACTTTAAAACTAAATTTAACACCAGTCTCTCATTTTCATTCTGTATAGAGAATGACGAGGATACACTGTTGTCAAATTTAAGTTTCAGTTTAAATATCAAAATAGTTAGGGCAGACTCATCTCCGCTGGCAGCACGCGTTCATGAGCATGACGCAGCCATCGCCTTTCATTTCATGGTTGGGAAAGAGATTACTTTATGCCACATTTAAGCTTTTCTTCACCTTTGAAAAGGATAGCGACAGGAGTTAAATTTTGAATAGCCCCCTGGTTAAAAAAATAGTTGGTTGTTACACTTACCTGCCGTTTATTATTTATTTGATCTGTGCCAAACTTTGATATATTTTGGTATCTATAAATGATCTACATTTATATAAAAGTTTATTTTATTGAAGATAACCTTATTGTTCATGTTGTATTAAAATGAGGTTAAACTTTAGAAAAACGGCTGACTGTCACGTTTACAAAGCTAACATTTAGGTTTTTTGTTTGTTGATATCGCTTCCTGATACCGGATTTATCAGGGTTCGTAGTTACCAGTATACATAAAAATAAAAACAAAGTTACTTAATAACTTTACAAGGTATTTTATAAACTATGGAAATCTTAAGTTACTCCCTTACTTACGTTTATTTATTTTTTTCTTTTGTAAAAGTTTGCAAATGTGACTGTCGGCCGTTTAAATTAACTTTCAACTAACTTTATGTAAATCTTTCACGTAAATATATTTTTCCATGTAGGTACAGTCGGAGAAATTGTGGTAGACTTAGTCGGTAATCACTTGGGTTCGATATAGCTAGCTTAAAAGTGTCCCTCCCAAAAGCGGACTCACGCGAATATCGGCTAACTGCCTGCTTTTTCAACTGTACCCACTTTTCTTTGGTTAGAATTTAGTAATCGGTACCTGTCTAGTCAAATTTCATTTTTTTCATTGTAATCGAACTTCGAGAAGTATGTATCACGAACTATCGAATTTCCATTTACTAAAAACTGTCTATGAATTTAATATTTTTGTAGCAATAAGTAGCATCTACAAGCTAAGAACTCACGGCGTGATTTTCTCGCCGCAACTCGCGTAGTATGTGAAATTGTAGGTAAAATACAAAAGCAAAACGCGTCGCGTCGACGCGATCACATACCGCGCGCGCCCACATATGGCTTGTGGGCGCGCGCGGGACGCGATCATCCGCAGACGCGGCAGGCCTGGCTCGCGCGCTCTGCGATTTTCATGTTCTGAATTCAAATTCTACGATCGTTTTCCCGCAAAGTTTGCGGGCTCGCAGCCGGTCTCGTAAGTTGAAATACTCTCCGTGAGTTATTAGCTACAGACTATGGTTTGGCATCTTGTCTATGACCTATGTAGAATTGAAGGCTATGGTAATATGGAGGAATTGAGCTGTGTATTAATTTAGGCTCTAAAGCTATAAGCTTAAGATGTGTATTTTTAAAAGGAATATTTTATATAGAACATGTGGTTTAGATATCAAAAATAAACGACATAATTACTCATCAGATTTTTATTTCACATTCATCTTTAACTAATTTCCAACTGCAAGTCCATTTACTCAAACTGCAAGTTTTATCAGTTGATATTTTATAGTATCGATATATAATTTATTTAAAGTTTTTTACTGTATTCACTAATTAATCGAAAAAAACATAAGCATAAAAAATATTAAAATCGATCAAAAATTTGTTGCTCAAGACTCTTTTGATGAGTATATTTTAACTAAAGTCGAACCACGATAACTTTGCAGAGTCAATAATCTGGTCACACCAGAAAAACTTGATCTGGCAGCCCTTTTAAGACGTCATTCAAAAATGTCATTATTATATGAGTCGTATAGTATCAAACGCGGCAAAGTAGGGCGAACCAAATATTTGGCAAATCAAAGAAAACTGTTTAATCTCGTCTTTAAGGGAGATTAAAATATTGACATTTCACTACGATTTGTAGTTATGATGAATGTCAATTATAAAAATCGTCCTTTAAAGACGAAACTAAACAGTTTTTTTTTATTTGCCCTACTTTGCCGCCTTTGATACTATACGACTCATATGTCATGTCATGCAGGATCTTTCGTTGGAGAATATTATTTGAGTTTTTTTAACCGACTTCAAAAAAGAAGGAAGGAGGTTTTGTGTTCGACTGTATATTTCTTTTTTTTTTTATATATGTTCACCAATTTCTCCGTCAATTGTGGACCGATTTGCAAAATTCTTTTTTTATTCGAAAGAATGCACTTCCGAGGTTGTCCCATTCAGCCAAGTCAGGATCTGATGGTGGAATCCGGGGAAATCGAGGGAAACCTTCAAATTTCAAAGGCACGCACGATGTTTTTTATGTATGTTCACCGAAGTCTCCGTCAATTGTGTTATTGTTTACTTGGACTAACCAATTTTTACTAAAATGGATGAAATAAAAAAAAACGACTTCGAAATCGAAAATGGAACTAAAAAATAAAAAATAAATATCTGGTTGTATTTTTTGTTTATGGAGTTAATAAAATAGAGAAGTTATCGTATAATACCACTTATTGTGATGCACGTAAATAAAAAAAAACAAATAAAATAAATAAATATAAAATTGTAACTACTGTTTATAATAAAATAAATAAATTAAAAAAAACTGTAGCTAAAATAATAGATACTTTATCCGACAAATAAATAACAATGAAATAATCAGTACGATAAAAATTAGCAGCTATTCTAATGGGGCATAACAGTTTTTGCAGTGCAGAATGCTGCGGCAGACTGTACGCAGTTGTACCGCTGCATGTAGTTGTAGGGGCAGTCTGCAACATGTTTCACGCATTTCAGAATATCTATACCTATATTTTTTCTATTAATAAGAAGACTTCTTGTTTGTAGAAGAACATCTGGAATCATTAATTGCTAGGATGCGCAATACCAATAGTAAATTCCCATCCCAGTACTTAAAAACAGCAAAACAAATATGAAACTGTAACATAGTACACACGACACCTCTGATACTTTATATATAATATCTCCAATGTAAAAAAAGTAGTTCCTACGAGCATCCCATTTCACTTTGCCATTGTTCGTGTTTTTTCGTAAAATTTTTCGATATCGGCTTCGTCTTCTCTATGGCCGTCAAGATATCCGATATATTCAGTCTGTCCTTCCGATTAGCTTGGCAACCTAAAATGTAATAGGTATTATAATAATTACGTAAGTATTTCTTCCGGACAGCATTTAAAAAATAATTCCAATAAAAGATACATCCTTTTTCCTGATTATTTTTAGTTAAAATAAATCATTTGAGTTCGTCATCATCATCAGCCTATTAATGTCCCCGCTGCTGGGGTAAAGGCCTTCCCTATGGATGGAATAGGGAGACCCCTGACACCACGCGGGCCCAGTGCGGATTGGCGGATCCTAACGACTGCAGATGAAGCCGGGACCAAAGACTTAACGTGCCTTCCGTAAGCACGGAAGAACTCGAGATAGAAGATTTTTGGTCACCCATCCAATGACCGTCCACTGCGAAAGTTGCTTAACTTCAACAATCGCATCCGAACGCGCTAGCCACCCGCGCCTTCGAGCTCCTCCATTTAATTTAGGTATTCCTTTTTAATCATTTAGCCATATGACGCCCACTGATCAGCGTATGCCACTCCCAAAGTGGAAGTTGCTCTTTATACGATAAAAAGTAATAACTTTAATCATTGCTCGACTCTACAGCGGAAATGAATACCTAAATATTAAAATGCAACTGTTCCTACGGCCGAACTCAGAAACGTCAAAACAACATAACGCTGCTTAAGCACATGTTCCCTTATTTTATCGCCATTTAGTTAAAAGTCAATTAATGTTTCGCAGTCCGGCCGTTACTCAGTTTATTTCGGTCTTATCTCCCACCTTTATCAAGCATGTTGGGCAGAATCTTCCTCACGGCAGACATTAAAGCCTCCTTGCAGACCAGCTTGATGTCGCTGCCGGAGTAGCCTTCAGTCTTCGCCGCCAACTCCTGGAAGTCCACCTTCGGATACAGCTCTATAGTCTTCGAGCTGAGGAACTTCTCAAACAGCTGTACTCGCGCCTTGAAGTCTGGTAAAGGTATGTAGATGCGCTTCTCCAACCTCCTGAGCATTGCTGGATCGATTTCCCTGAGAATCACCCTTGATTATTCGTAATTATAATTTTACTTTATTTAAATTGTCCAACATAATCTTTGCTAGCATTCATCGTAACATCCAGTAGTAGAATCGCCTTCGCAAAATTCGTATAAAAATAGAAAATCGAAAAACCCTTTAAAACACGGCTTTTGGTCCCGGCAGTTGTTAGCGCCTACCAAGTTGCACTGGGCTCGCGTTCCGTTTCTGGGTCAAGGCCGGATCACCCTATTCCATCCATAGGAAGGCCTGTGCCCCAGCAGTTGGGACATTAATATGTTGATGATAATAACATGCTCACCAAGGCATATTAGAGTTGGCTAACAGGAACACGACACCATCTCTGGCCGTTACGCCGTCTAGCTCGGTCAGCAGTTGCACCTTCAGCCGTCGTGATGCTTCGTGCTCTCCTGGGGCAGACCGATCCGAGGCTATAGCCTCCACCTCGTCAACGAAGATTATCGACGGCGAGTAGTAAGATGCCATTTCGAATAATATCTGCAACCAAACTATTACTCCTAAAGGATAGCTTTAAGGGGGTACAGGGGTTTGGTCTCTAGTGTGCCACAAAGGAACATACATACATATATAGACTTAAAGACTATACCCTGTCTGCGCTTCGCGCTCTTGCGTTGCGCAGTCGGATAACAAGGTAGACTGGAAATATATTGGATTTACAGTAAGGAGTTTCTTGCCGGTTCTTCTCAGTACAAGATCACCCGCCGTAGATTTGCGAATACATGGCGAAGCTTCACAAGTATTGTATTGTAACAGCCAAGACCGAATAAATAAATTTAAAAATTTTTGGATCACCAAACCACTAGACCAAACGAGCCGTCAAATTCCAACAGATTATTGTACTAAACTAGCAGTGCGTAACTGAAGTATATTTATAATTTATTCGGCAGCGGTGTAGTAGCTGATTAAAAAAGATGCTCTCCCAGCAAAATCTTCTTCAATATCTCCGTTAAAGAATGTGCACCAACACTTCACGGTCGCCTTCAAAGGAGGACGGGCATTTTGGTATCCAATTGGTGTTTGGTATCAATAGCGATGAGTGGTATATCATTGAATACCTCTTTTCGTGTAGAATATTAGTTACTATGGCGGCATTCTGATATTTGTTGTCCGTTTTTATTTTTTCCAGAAAATACCAGAACCATTTTTGCCGGAACCGTTATTACCATTATTACTACATTATTATACTTATTTGTTTCTTAGGTTTTCACGCACATCACTCATTAAATAAAACTAGTTTTTACGGGTTAATGCACGAAACTTTATTTATTTATTGACGTTTCGCAGCCTTTTCAGGTCTGCATCGTCAGAATAATGATTTTTTATTTTAAATAAACCATATAATTGATAATATGTGAGCACAAGTTCCTATGGTACGTCTACCGGTTAGACATGTATTTATTTTAAATAAAAAATCATTATTCTGACGATGCAGACCTGAAAAGGCTGCGAAACGTCAATAAATAAATAAATAAAGTTTCGTGCATTAACCCGTAAAAACTAGTTTTATTATTATACTTATCGAATAATAATTATAATTCAACATTATTGTACATGTCTAACCGGTAGACGTACCATAGGAACTTGTGCTCACATATTATCAATTATAATGGTACCTAGGCTATGCCAGGCACGCCGGATTCGTCGCTCCTGCACTGTTCCTAAATGACATCCATATTAAAAATAATGAATAAAGTAATTACTCCAAAATGTGTTTCTTTCACTCTGCCTCTGGATAACTGCATACATAAAAGAATAAATGAAAAAAAACATAATGTACCAACAAAGATTAATATTTAAAATCTATTTTTGTTATTTTTATTTTTGTTAAAAAAGTTTTTTATTAAGTGTTACCGTCATTGGCGTATCTAGGGTTATTTTTCAGGGGGGGGGGGGGGGGCGGGCCCTGACATTGAAGAGTCATCTGAAGTTAGTGATTAGTATTATAGAATTTGGAATCGGTAGTCCATCCTGGGGTGGGCACAAGACCGTCCAGGAGTGGGCACGGCCCACTCGCCCCCCCCCCCCCCCCCCCCTCTATATACACCTATGTTTACCGTTCAAGATAACAAGCTAGTTATTGTTTTTTTTATTATGTTTTTTTACCTTTTTCTTTTATTAACGTTCTCGTTAAAGATAAACATTAAATAGTTCTCAGGAGGTTGTATTGTTACTAAGTCGGAAGGCCACTGGTATCTGCAATACTTTTTTTTTAAACTATTGCAGATATCAACGCTCTAACCTAATGCCTATTGTTAATACTTACAACACTGCTAAAATAATGTAAATACTAAAATGTATAACAATTTAAAAAGGAAAAACTTTTTTTTATTATTTATTATATAACTCTGTTTCGACAACGTATCAGGGCAAGCGCCATAGTAGACATTATTGTATTCAAGTAGACCTTTCAAATAATATGTAACACATCTCTATTGGAACGGATACCAAGTTCCATAGATTTTTGCCCATCATCCTTTGAATAACCCTTTACCGATGATCTTCTCGGAGTTCCCGCGCCCCTTGTTCACTACAGTGCCGCAGCTGACGTTAAAGAAAGTGCAATTACAGGGCTCCAGTAGACAAGTGAACAGGTAAACTAGCGACAAACTTCTTGGTACTTTTGTATGTAAAAGTGCTAATGCGCAGGCTCCGTTGTCCATGGTCTATGCTCACGAGGTTTGTGATGGTGTATACCTTGACGATCTTCTCGGAGTTTCCGCGCCACTTGTTGACTACGGTGCCGCAGCTGACATTGAAGAAAGTGCAGGCACTGTGCGCGGCCGCAGCGCGCGCCAGCAGCGTCTTGCCGGTGCCGGGCGGCCCATGCAGTAGCACGCCGCGCCACGGCTCCAGCAATCCGGTGAACACCTCGGGGTACCTTCAAAAAAGAATAAACTTTACTTTTCCTACCCGCACTTACTTCAGTTACTCCGTGATCATGACGTTTCAACAGTGTAGAAATATCGGGGACTCGTAAAAAACAAGGTATACAGTAGCAATCCCGTTAGTAACATAAATTGCTAATAAAGAAGAAACTGTTCATGAACATGATACAAAAAGCTCGTTTACGTTATCGGCGCATTTCCTTCCAGTAAACCTTGCAAACGACTAAGAAATACTTCGGTTGGTTTAATATTTGGAGCTCCTTTATGCTTCGACAAGCACTGACAACGACTGCAGACCCATACTGCAGTTTGCAGTTGCAGCATCTACATGGATCTCCCACTACACTCACGCTATTGATCCCTTCTACATCTGTAAGATTAATCCTCACTAGGTCGCAAAGAGGTTATGACCTGTTCTCCCTTTTATTTGCCAAAGCAGTATGATTATGAAATGTTGTTTTATAATGCTACGCTGGTGTACCATAATGTTCTCATCTTCTTTAAAAATATCTACCATCACGTAGAAACCAGAGCCACCAAATCTCCACTAAGTAAAAATTCAAACATCTACCTTACGGGGTAAATGACGGATTCCATCAATAAGGCTTTCGCCGACTCCAAGCCCACTATGTCGTCCCAACTGACCCCCGAAGGTCGCACAATATCCTGGAAAAGCAGTTCCACGAGCTCCTTCTTCTCCACACTTTGATTTGTTAGTAAGCCAGCGAGAGGTTTCCTTTCTACTGCAGGAATCACCGAGCTTTCCAACTGGGCTTCCTGAAACAACGTCTATCAGTCAACCGTGTGTTTGATACATGCATCTATCAAACGTAACTGTAAAGTATAATAACTCTACAAACTTGTACCTTTAATGTATTTGCTATAATGATAAGATAGGTGTGACATAGCGGATTTCCTGCTCTAATTAGAGCGTCCGTCTGGGGAAGTAACTTCCACCTTGCTAAAGAACACAACAATATACCTTTTGGTGGTGTGGTTTTGTCGGTGAGCAAGGTCCCTGTCCCAGGGCTCCATGGGGTAGGGATTGGTCAGGATAGGAAAGCAACGACGTGAGAGATATTTCTTGAATTGCAGACGTCTATAGGTTATGGTAGCCCTTTACCATCAGGCAGGCGATGTGTTTGTCACCCATTTACCAATAAAAAATGCAATGTCCACGTCATAATTTTAAACGCATACCTTAACCAACTTGGTGATGGTGAAAGTGGAAGGCAAGTCTGGTGCTTGCTCAGCAACTACCACTGGTTCAGACCTTCTGTCTGCTGCGGCGCTCGCCTCTCGCGGGCCTCGTCTGGTTTGCGGCCTGCCAGAGTGTAAATAATCATCATCATCAACAGCCTATTAATGTTCCCTCTCCCTGGGCACGGACCTTCCCTGTAGATGGAATGGAGACCCACCGAGTGATTTAAATATTTTGAAAGAAAGACATAAAGCTTTAAAAACTTTGCGTTCATACTTCAAGCAAATATAAACCGAACGGGGAATTACCTACTTACGAGGATTTTCCCGTACGTCATCGTGAGTGTTGCCAATTGTTAAAAGTTGGTTGGTACTTACTTCAAACAAAAAGTGTGGTAAGTTTTAAAATAAACGGAAAACTTTAATATCAACTCATTAATGTTCCTATTAATTCCTATTAATGTTCCCTCTCCCTGGGCACGGACCTTCCCTGTAGATGGAATGGAGACCCACCGAGTGATTTAAATATTTTGAAAGAAAGACATAAAGCTTTAAAAACTTTGCGTTCATACTTCAAGCAAATATAAACCGAACGGGGAATTACCTACTTACGAGGATTTTCCCGTACGTCATCGTGAGTGTTGCCAATTGTTAAAAGTTGGTTGGTACTTACTTCAAACAAAAAGTGTGGTAAGTTTTAAAATAAACGGAAAACTTTAATATCAACTCATAAGCATTAATATGTTTTTATAATAAAATACCAAAAGAAATAGGTAATTAATTTACCTTTTAATTCTTTAAACTGAGTATCAAAACTTGTCTCTTTAAGAAGATTTCCTATACTGTTAAAAATTTCCTAAATGATAAGGCATCTCGGGCTTAATATACTAAGTAGTTTTCCTTTGCTAATTTGGTTGATAATTTTAAAATCGGCACTTCTAAATGTAAAAATAGTAGCTTCAACTTCTTGTTATTTAGTAATATTATTGTGATGAAAGTTGACATCAACATCATGTTTTCAGGTTTTGATGTCATTTTTCAACTAACGACACTATACAACAAAACAGGGAGAAAAAAATAGCCTTTGCTGAGTTTCTTGCCGGTTCTTCTCAGTACAAGGTCCGCCGTAGATTTACGAGTACGAACCGATAGCGTAGCATTTGACTTTCACAAGAGACAACCTAAAGTAGAACTTTTTATTAGCTGCAGTAAAATGACGTTTTGTGGGTTACCGCTTTTTGAAGAAAAATAAATAGGGATGTAGCTAAGTGAGTAAGTGAATCATTCAATAAATGAATGATCAGTTTGGTTTCGTTTAAGAGATTTAATATTAAGTTGTAATGATTTTTTATTCTATTACTAGTGGCCCGCCCTCGCTTCGCTTCGGTGTAGAGCTGAAGTGTAGACTACAGTTTTTGTTCTCAGGCTTGTATTATACACAATGACATTCATCTATGATTCTTCTTATACCTGCATGCAAAGTCTCAGGCCCGATCGGTTTAAAATTTCATACAAACTTTCATTCCCTATTTTATCCTTGGGGGTGAAATTGATTAAAATCTTTTCTTAGCGGATGCCTACGTCATAACATCTACCTGCATGCCAAATTTCAGCCCGATCCGTCCAGTGGTTTGGGCTGTGCCTTGATAGATCACTATGGCAGTCAGTCACCTTTGAGTTTTATATATATAGCTATATTTGTTACGTCACCGTAAACTGACGATATGAGATGTTGTTGGGATTGCACTATACAACATAATTCAGGCGTCAGAATAAGTTTTCCTTGGTGTAGCAGTGGATAGGTACCTTCACCAATCCTTAATAATATATCAGAAAATTCACGATCATCCGGGTTATCTCCAGTTCTCACTCGCATGTTTATAGTCAAATGCACCGATTGTATATCACGCCACAAATAAGAGCTTTTCAGGCAAGCCCTAACCTCATCAGCTCGGGTTCCCCGTGGTATTACCGGTAAGGTTTGTCGGAAATCACCACAAAATAAAACTGTGATAACGCCCAGTGGTCGATCATTTTGTCTTATCCGTTACACAAAAATAAATCCTTATAGCATGGTTCAGTATTCAGGTGCGACGGCGCGATGGCTTATTTCATGTATAAGTTTGGTGTTTCAATACCGATTTCTATGATTCTTTTTTTATTGAATAGGTAATAATGTTAACTTTTTTTAAATTAGGGATGAGTGAGAGTATTATAAACGTAAGAGTAAACAAATATAATCAGAATGCTCCGAACTGCTAAGCTATCAGGAGTTACACGTGTTATTGTAAGTCAACCATAAAAGATAGACATATGCTGTTGCGGGATATTTTTTAGAAAATTTTATGTAGAATATTTCCGTCAAACATAATTTCTATGTAACTTTAACCATTAAGGCTGCGCACGCGACGGAAGCTTAAAAAATGGAGTAACTTCTCCCGTTTTCCCAACATTTCCCTTCATTACTCTGCTCCTATTGATTGTAGCGTGATGAAAAGTATACTATAACCTGCCCAGGAGTATGAAGAATAATTGTACCAAGTTTCGTTAAAATCCGTCGAGTAGTTTTTGTTTCTATAAGGAACATACACACAGACAGACAGACAGACAAAAATTTTACTGATTGCATTTTTGGCATCAGTATTGATCACTAATCACCCCCTGATAGTTATTTTGAAAATATATTTCATGTACAGAATTGACCCCTCTACAGATTTATTATAAGTATAGATTAGTACTATAGTAAAGGATTGATCTTTTTCATTGGAAGTATCGGGACGTACATCCAAAATTAAACAAAAGTCATAATAATGTTATTTATTAATCAAATATTTTCGGAATCACTATTGCTGTCGCTTTCGGTCACACTAATGACAAATCTGTCTGTCATTTCATCAATAATATGATCGAGGTGGCACATTTTGTCTTCCTCTTTTATAGTGTTAGACACACAGTCACTCCACTTAACCGGTGTCACTTTGTTGATTCCTTCTTGGAATAAAGTTGCATTTTATATGTTTTATTAATGTTTGCGACGTGCCCCTTTACCTGAGCCCAAACCAACTCGATGGGGTTCAATTCACAGTGATAAGGGGGCAGTCTTAAAAGTCTTATACCTTTTTATGCAGCAATCTCGTCCACGGCATATTTCTCAGTATGATTTTGTTGTTTCACAATATCTATGAGAGTGGCCTTCACTATATTTGGTTCAAATGTAATATTTTTAGTGGTCAGCCACTCTTGAATCTAATTGGTTAAAATTCCACATGGGGTGAGAGAAAACATATTATACCTAACGTATATTAAAAAGATTAGTGATGACAGGTAAACTAAACTTTGCGATGGTGGGTACTTCATTTCTATGAAAGAACTGATGTACAATTCGTCCAATAGCGGTGAATGTGAAATCATCAAGTTTTTCTTTAAATATAAGTTTTAGGCCCGGTTTTTCGGGAGGTTTTGGGGTACTAAATTCCTATTCAAACACATATTTGTAAACGTTTCTGACCCAAAGTTTCTCGGTTGCACTTAGAGCTACACGTGGCCTTTTTTTCTTACGAGATAGAAATGTATCTCCATCTTGGGATATGCTCAACTGAGCATCCATGCCTTCGATGTAACAAACAAAAAAAAGCTGACACGATTAAGAAAAAGTAGGTAACGAAAAACAAACATAACGTAACAAAAAATTAACAATAATGATAACTAAAACAACTCGCAGTGGGCAAAGCAAAGTTATTCGTCCACTCAAAACAGAAGTTAGAAGCCGAATGAGCGAATGACAAATGAAATAAAATGGCGGACAAGCCTCATCGTAGCACCGTAACTAAAAACCAGTACCAACTTGAGATTTTATACAGCCTTTTATTTATATGAATAATAAATAGAATTAAGTATGATCATTATGAGTTAGTTATGAAACGATTACATTTTCTGGTAACCTAATCACATCCCTATTGAAATTAGGCGGTCAACATTATTTTACGGAATGACATTTTGAAACGTCATTTTACTGCAGCTATTAAAAAGTCGAAGTATAGACTGAATATATGAGTTAGAAATTCAATGTTTAACGGAAACTTCCTTAATAATTTTGAAATCTATACTCGTGAAAAAAACTTCCAAAAATACGTATTTAGGGTTCCGTAGTCCTGACAAGGAACCCTTATAGTTTCGTCCTGTCCGTCTGTTCGTCCCCGGTTTTACTTGGAGACTATTAGTACTACAGAGCTGTAATTTTGTGGATATATGTATACCAATCACACTAACTTGTTAATACACATTTACATTGACGCGACAGATACTATTTCTCAATATATAATTAAGATAATATGTATCAAAAGCTCAGAATAAGCCACTGAGATCTAGTATTCCATTGCGTGAATTTTAATTCATTTGTGGTGAGAGTGCCGACTGAACATCTGGCGGGCTTTTTGAAAGAACAGCTTTGGCCCAAAGGTGTGGTGTTCCGGCGTTTCAAAGGCAGGCTACCCGACACCACTCCGCGCCACACGTCGCGTCGCCGACTAAACGTGTTATTTACAATACTGTAATTATTTTATATTTCCAATCTATGT